TGAGGGAGCCTGTTGTCACTCTGGAAGGTCACACCAAGCGGGTGGGCATCGTGGCCTGGCACCCCACAGCCCAGAATGTGCTACTCAGCGCAGGTGCCGTAAGGGTGCGGAGGGGAAGCCTGGGGGCCTGACGGGGGCACACGCTCACAGTTCCACGATGGACAATTGTGCAGGTTGTGACAATGTGATCCTGGTGTGGGATGTGGGCACTGGGGAAGCTGTGCTGACACTGGGTCCCGACGTGCACCCGGACACGATCTACAGTGTGGACTGGAGCCGGGACGGCGGTCTCATCTGTACCTCCTGCCGCGACAAGCGTGTTCGCATCATTGAGCCTCGGAAAGGCACTGTGGTGGCTGTAAGTTGAACCTTAAACCTTGGCCCCAGGATGTTGATCTCCCTGCACCCACCGAGGTTCTAGTCTCTTGGTGAGACCGAGAGAAGCTGACTGACCACAATGCTTGTCTCTCAGGAAAAGGACCGTCCTCATGAGGGAACTCGGCCAGTGCACGCTGTGTTTGTATCAGAAGGGAAGATCCTAACCACGGGTTTCAGTCGCATGAGTGAGCGGCAGGTGGCGCTGTGGGACACAGTGAGTGCTCAGAAATGGGACCCTTTAGACTGGAACCAAGGCGGAGGGAGGCTAAGTCACAACCCTACCACATGACCATGGCCTCAGTTTACCTATTAGATGGGAAGTTTCTACTGCTTAGTCTGAGGGCCCTTGACTGCTTGCTGTCTAGTGAAGACTTGTCATGGCTCAGCCCTGCTACCCCCTTTGTCTCTACAGAAGCACCTAGAAGAGCCGCTGTCCCTGCAGGAGCTGGACACAAGCAGCGGAGTTCTGCTGCCTTTTTTTGACCCTGACACCAACATTGTCTACCTCTGTGGCAAGGTGACTGGGGGCAGGGAAGTGGGTAAGTGAGCACAAAGGCTGGTGGCCCGTGCTGGCACTGACTCTCTTGCCCGCACCACCTACAGGGTGACAGCTCTATCCGGTATTTTGAGATCACTTCTGAGGCTCCGTTCCTGCACTATCTTTCCATGTTCAGTTCCAAGGAGTCCCAGCGTGGTATGGGCTACATGCCCAAACGTGGCCTGGAAGTGAATAAGTGTGAGATTGCCAGGTGAGTGCCCCAATTCCGACCAGACCTTCAGTGCCCACTCATGCTGCACAGTGCCGCTCACCTTCCTGTTTCTGCAGGTTCTACAAGCTTCATGAGCGGAAATGTGAGCCCATCGCCATGACAGTGCCTAGAAAGGTGATGTTCCTATGCTCCTCCCTGGGCCAGGGTAGGAACTGACCACTGGGCTTGTAAGGAGGGGCAGGAATATAAACACTCTCGTGACCAGCTCTGGCCTTGCCCACAGTCGGACCTGTTCCAGGAGGACCTGTATCCACCCACTGCAGGACCAGACCCTGCCCTCACAGCTGAGGAGTGGCTGGGTGGTCGGGATGCTGGCCCCCTCCTCATCTCCCTCAAGGATGGCTACGTGCCCCCAAAGAGCCGGGAGCTGAGAGTCAACAGGGGCTTGGACAGTGTACGCAAGAGAGCCACACCAGAGGCCAGTGGCGCTCCCAGCTCGGTAGGGCTGGTGGGGAGCTGGGGAGCTAGGGTAGAAGGGCAGAAGACAGATTAGGGCAAAGGCTGCATGGGTGTGCTCAGTGTCTCATCGGGACAGAGATGTATTTGTGGAGATGTCTGAGCTCCGAATGGCAGGAAATTCTGGGAGGACAAGGAGTGGGTGACCCTGTGGCCTTAGAAATCAAATGCATTGATCTGAGTAGTAGCTGCTGGGACCAAAGGGGGCCAAGCTTTGGGGTTCTTGGAAAGGCTAGCTGATGTCAGAGGAAGGGAATATATAGAAAAGTGGGGTCTAATGCAGTCTGGCTCCCCTAGGACACTGTGTCTCGGCTGGAGGAAGAGATGAGGAACCTGCAGGCCACGGTACAAGAGCTACAGAAGCGCATGGACAGGCTGGAGGAGACTGTTCAGGCCAAGTAGAGCACCCCAGAGCCTTCAGCAGGGCCAGCCATTCACTCTGCTCCCACCCCACCCTCAGGCCATACGGTGAATAAGACGAAAATAATAAAATGGCTTTATTTTCTGGTACCTCTCTGACTCTGGTGAACTGACCAGCCGCACGGCTTCCCCTTGATGGTTCTGAATGCACTATCCCATGCAGGATTGCAGGTCACTCCCAAATGCACTGTAGCAAATGAATGGGGCCTTGGATGGAAGGATGGCTACCCAGCGATGGAGCTGAGAGCTGTTCTGCTTCCTAGCTCCATCTCGGAGTGGAAGGTCTGAGTCATCCAAATCCCTATCTTAGGGCCCCAGATTTTCCAAATCTACCCAAGTCTTTTCTTGTGTTTTCTATGGCAGTGCTGGGGACCAAAGCTATGACCACTCACATGCGAGGTGAGCTCTCTATCACTCTAGCTATACCCCTAGCCCTGACCCCAAATTAGCATTTCCTGATCAACTCTGTGCACAAACTGCATACAACTATACTGACACTGGTGCTTATGGCAAAACCAACCAGCATATGGTGACGTTTTTCAAACTATAGACTCAAAGAACAAAAACAAGACTTCTGATCGGACCTGACTCACACCTGTAATCCAAACCCTTGGGAGACTGAGCAACTGCTGGGGGTTTCAAGCCAGAAACTCAGTTGAAAGCGGTGATAAATTGAGATACTGCCTCAAAAACCAAACCAAACCAGAAATAGAGCTTGGGATGTACCCTGATTGGCAGCATGTGCCAGGTCCTGGGTTTGATCCCAGCACTGCAGAAATCAGGTGTGGAAACCTACACCTGTAATCTCAGCACTTGGGAGGTGATGGCAGGAGAATCAGAAGTTCAAAGACAGCCTAAGATGGAGACCCTGTCTCAAAACAACTGTAATAAGACAACAATAACAACAACAACAACAAAAGGCCAGAAAGATGACTTAGTGGGTTAGTGTTTGCTCTGCGATCGTGAGGGATGACAACCAAATCCCAGCACCCACATAACAGCCTGGGTGTTCCCGCAAACGCCTGTAACCCCAGTAGGTCTGATGTGGATAGAGACAGGACTGTGGGGCTGGCTGGCTTCCAGCCTAACAGAGATAGATACAAGCACCAGTTTCAGGGAGAGAGCCTGCCTCAAAGGATAAGTAGAAAGTGACAGAAGACATCTGACATCCTCTTCTGGCCTCCATTCACATGTACAGGCATGTACACCTTGCATACACACACATTACTACACACACATAAGTAAAAATAACTCTTGTGCTAGACATGTAGATCAGTGGCCCTTTCAGAGGACCGGAGTTCAGGTCCCCACATCCACATCAGGTGGTCCACAACCACCTGCAATCCAGCTTCATGAAACTTGACGCCCTCTGCAAGCAACTACAGGCAAGTCCACAAAGACAAATAAGCCAGACCTGGTGAACTGTGCTGTTAGCTGTGGTAGCAGAGGCAAGCAGATCTCTAAGTTCCAGGACAGCCAGGGCTACACTGAGAGACCCCGTCTCAAACAAACACACACACAAACAAAAACTACCTAACAAAACAAAGACAAAATCCCATAAAGGCAAAGCTTAGAAACCAGGAAACAGCCTGACCCTGGACTAAAACACAGAGACAAGGGCTGGCTGAAGGGCAGTTCTGAGGTTCCAGTTTAAGAAACCCCCTTCCATTCACAACATTCTGCAGCCTTGGAGCATTTCCTGTGGATTTCACAGGACCTGGAGTCTGAGGAAGACAGGGAAGAACAGATCTCTTATACCCTGTCTATAGGAGGGAGTGTTTGTTTTTGTGTGTTTCTGACTGTCTCACACAGCCTAGGATGGCCTTGAACTCCTAACTCTTCTGCCTCTACCTCTCAAGTGCTATTTCAAGGGTGCATCACGATGCCTGGTTTATGTGGCCCTGAGGATTGAACCTAGGGCTTCACATGTGCTAGGCAAGCACTCCACCAACAGCTATATCCTCGGCATGGGAGTAGCTTTTGGTGCCTAGTGGATGGGAGACTCCAGAGCTGCAATGATATAGAAGGGCTCAGGAGGGTATCGTGGCTGTGCCAAGGCTGAATCCATACAGTCCAGAGAACGTCCAGAACCCCAGCCCCAGCCCTTTCCTCTTCATGCCACAAAATTATCTGGATATAGAGAATGGCACACAAACAGGCCTGCCTGCCCAGCTGTGTTTCACCCTCTGGCAGGACATGTGATCCTGGGCAAGTCCCTTCTCCCCTATAAACTGGAGGGCCGTCACTGGGGAATGAAGGGGTCACTCCTCTAGAGATATAGTCTAGGCATCTTTCCTGTGACTGAATCACTGCCTCTCCAGAGGAAGAAAAAACGTTCAGGAAATGATCCTGGGGATGGAGAAGGCCTGACCAGCGACGACTATGACTCCAGTTGGACCAATTTCTTTGATGGAAGAATGAGAAGGTGGAGGCGGAGGTAACTGAGCGCTAAGTGTCAGAGACAGGCTTTGACAATATGGAGAGGAACTGAGTGTGGTGACAGACATCTGAGTCACGGCTGCATGAAGACTGAGGTGAGAGAACCATCTGAGTTCATGAATCTAAGAACAGTCTGGAAAACACATTGAGAGCCCGTCTCAAAGACAAAACAAGACAAAACCAAAGATTAGATGTGGAGGAACTGGACTGAATACCATGTCCCCTGAGAAGAGACTGACAGCATGACAGGACTCGTGTATCTTGTCTCTCCCTCTCTCTGATACCTCCAGGAGCCTGGAGAGGAGACTGTAAGAAAAGGCTGAGGGCTCCTGGTCCTGGGCGGTTGGCAGAGCAGGAACACCCTGCTTTCTGAGGGCGGACCTTGGTGACAGTACAGAGACCACACAGGTAGACAGACACCCTTGGCAGAGACTAAAGGACAGGACAATGCCAAACAATGATGGAGGAGGGGGAGGGGATAGCCAAGTACCTGACTCAGCCTCAGAGACCTCAAACAGCACACTGACACCAAATGGACCTGATTTACAGTTTAATGGCTGTTCAGGCCCGGGTCCCTCATTTCAGCCGCTCTCGGGTCCACTGCTCTGGGGTCAGAGTTTTCTGCTCAAAGGCATGGATGTGCGGGAGCTCTTCAGCTAGGCATTCATTCACCAGCCTGGGCGAGAGATGGGAATGAGAAATGTCCGCCCTCGGCTGGGGTGGTGGGCTCCGAGGCGAGCATGATCAGGGAGATCGGAGATGTCTCCAGGAAGTGGGGATTGGAGAGGACGGATGCCCAATCACAAAGGCAGGCGCACCCTCGGGTTATGGGCCACATCGCGGAGCTTGGGGTGAGTTAGTCCCCACCCAAGCAGTCAGAGACTGGGGCTATCGCCCCGAGCCCAAAGCGCTGGGCGAGGGGCTCCCGGGGGCTCACCGATGTCTCTGGAGCAATGGCTTTCCCACGAACTTAGCGGACACCACCAGGACTCGGAAGCTGGTCGCGCAACGGTTGAGAGTCGTGTCCTCCACCTCCTAGCCGGCAGAAGACCCGGACGATGGGCCGCTTGCCCTGGAGCCCTTCCCTGCCGCCCGAGTCCCCGTCCCCGCACTTACCACATGCTCTGCCTCCAGGTCCCGCCGCAGCTTCTCGCGGAGGTACTCCGCGCTGAGTTCCATAGCCACAGCCCGGCGGGGGAACAGGCAGGCGTGCCCAGAGCCCCGCCTTCCGCCCTCACTGAAGCCACTTCCTCCCACGCCGCTCACTTCCGCCCTCCCTGAGGCGGTCTGGAAAGCAGCACTTCCGTCTCCTAGCACAGGTGAAGTCGCAACGCTTGGGAGGCTCCGCCCCAGCTGTTAGCCAATCGGAGCCGGGCTGGGGGGCCGCGGGCGCTGCGACCGCGTTTGCACATCCTCCTCCTGCCAGCAGGCGGCGCACCAAGCGGCGCTGCCGGGTTTCCAGCGCGCTGGACGATCACCCTCGAGTGCTTTTTCCTAAACAAACGTTTTGCAGTCCTGGCTACCCAGCCCTTTCCGAGGTCCGAGGTCCCAGAAACCACCCCCCACTTCGGACCTCCAACCCAGAAAGTTCCGATGGGACATACAGCAAGACCGGGGCGCTTCTACGGTGTCTACCTGCTCTACTGCCAGAACCCTCGGCATCGGGGCCGCGTGTACGTGGGATTCACTGTCAATCCTGCTCGTCGCGTCCGGCAACACAACGCCGGTCGCAAAAAAGGTGGCGCCTGGAGGACCAGCGGGCGAGGACCCTGGTAAGAGGGCGCCGAAGTCTTGCCGGAAGGCTCCGGATTGGAGGCGGGCCGCCTGGACAGCAGCCCGAAGACAGAGGCGGGACCATTTCTGTGATCACGGGCGGTGCTGAGTCCCTGGCCTGTCACCCGGGCGAGCGTAGCGGGAGGGCGGCACCTTGTGGACTCTGAACGCTGGGTTAAGATTTGGGATGGTTAATTGGGGAACGAGATCAGAAACTAAGGGATGGTCTGTAACTCCAGTACCAAGGGTATGGAATGCCCTCTTCTGACCTCTGCATCCACCAGGTGCGCACGTGGTGCACTTAACATAAATACATACATAGAGGCAAAGACACTCATATACATAAAATATTAAAATAAATCCAAGAAAAAATTAAATACAAAAGATAAATTATGGAGTCAGCCAAAGTGCTTGTCTTAGGGTTACTATTGCTGTGATGAAACACCGTGACCAAAAAGCTTCCTGGGGAGGAAAGCATTTATTTGGCTTACTCTCCCAAGCACTGTTCATCATTGGAGGAAGTCAGGACAAACAAGAAAGAGCTGGCGCAGAGGCCATGAACCTAGGACCACCAGCCCAGGGATGGCACCACCCACAAAGGTCTAGGCCCCTCCCATCAATCACTAATTAATAAAATGCCCTACAGGCTTGCATACAGCTCGATCTTATGGACGAATTTTCTCAGTTGAGATTCCTTCTTCTCTGATGACGACACCTTGTGTCAAGTTGACATAAAACTATCCAGCACAAGCCCATTAACAGGGGAGTGGGAGAAGAAAGAAAACGTGACATATACAGGATGTAGTTTTTAAAAACCGGTTTATTTTTATTTGATTCATATTGAGTGTTTTGCCTTCATCCTAAGTGCAACATGTTCATGCAGTGCCCGCAGAGGTCAGAAGAGGGCGCCAGATCCCCTGGATTGGGAGTTACAGACAGTTCAGAGCCCAGGTTCTATGCGAGAGCAAGTGCTCCTAACTCTCAGCCATAATGGTAAATGAAATTATACCCCTTGAAAGAAAGTGGATGGAACTGGACATCACCGTGTTAAGTTATATAACAATATCTCAACTTTTTTCCCATGCGGAATTTAAAGAAAAAGTTATGAAAGTAGGAAGGTAACTATTTGGAATGAGGAAGAAGGCCAAAAAAAATGGGGAAGTGGTTATAATAAGTAATGTCAGAATACATTACATAAGTAGGAAAATGTCGATGCAACTGTTACTTTGTACAGTTAATATACACCAGTAAAAATTGTTTTAAAGACTGGACTCAGGAAAAACAAAACAAAACAAAAAGACCGGGCGGTGGTAGTGCACGCTTTTAATCTCATCTATTGGAAGGCGGATCTCTGTGAGTTCGAGGTTAACCTGGTCTGCAGAGCAACTTCCAGGACAGCCAGGGTTATACAGAGAAGACCTGTCTGGAGTGGGGGGGAGAAGACTGGAATCAAGGGCGTTGGTCAGCAAGGCTGGGGCCAGAACACTACTACTTAGAAAGGACAGGAATCAAGGACTGGCCGAGGTGCAGGTGCGTGGGATTTACATCTCCATGAAAGGTTCAAGCCCTAATGACCAGGTGTGAAGTGCTGTGAACTGGAACACAGGCCGGGGTGGGGTGGGGCATTGAGCTGCTAGTGGGATTGAGGTGGGATAGGGACTCACGCATTGGCCTTGCCCTCTCCTCCCAAGGGACATGGTGCTGATCCTGCACGGTTTTCCGTCTGCTGTAGCCGCCCTTCGGGTAAGAAAGGTGTCTTAAGGACGGGCTGGCCCGGGGGTTTAGAGTTTGTCTAGAGGACCTTGCCCAGGGCCGCCCTGACTTTGTTGTCTGTGTCCCTTCCTATAGTTTGAATGGGCCTGGCAGCATCCTCAAGCCTCACGCCGCCTGACTCACGTGGGGCCGCGCCTGCGCAGCGAGGCATCCTTCGCCTTCCACCTGCGTGTGTTGGCACACATGCTCCGAGTTCCTCCGTGGGTGCGCCTCCCTCTAACACTGCGCTGGTTGCGACCTGACTTCCGCCATGAACTTTCTCCAGTGCCACCACCACACATGCCCATTGCCTTTGGGCCGGTACCACCCCAGCCCTTGGTCCCCAAGCGACTCACTGCAAGTGAGACTGACAGCGAGCGCCAGCTGGATGGAGGCGCCAAGGGCAGCTGCATGCTGTGTGCACGCATGCTGCAGGTAGGGGCACATCGGGGCTGAGACCCCAGAGTTTGCCTACCCTGACCAGTCTCATGAGGACGATGGTACTTGCGGCTGTGTCCTGGCCCATCAGTATCTACCACGGGCCGTTAGCGCCTCTGACTGGGCAACCAGCCACCATGTAGATCTTTCCTGGCCTCCTGAAGTCATAGCTCTTCTGTGTGCTTCCTGTTTTTTCCGTCTCTTTCTTGTCTCACGAGCTGCGTGCTGCTCTTGGTTACTTCAAGTTCTTCCCATGTCTCCTTACCACCATCTCTGACAGGATGAAGAAGGCCCCCTGTGCTGCCCCCACCCCGGTTGTCCCCTCAGAGCCCATATCATCTGCCTGGCAGCGGAGTTCCTGCGGGAAGAGCCGGGGCAGCTTTTGCCCCTAGAGGGTCATTGTCCTAGGTGAGTCCAGGCTTCTTCCCAGCCTGTGTAGGTCTGGAAAGAAGGTGCCTCCTGTTTCAGTCCTGGCTAGGGAACCTCACCTTGACACTCAGGGCCTAGGTGGAGGGGCCTGGGGATGTCTGACTCTGCCATCTCTACCAACTGTACCCTTTGGCAGCTGTAAGAAGTCTCTGCTCTGGGGAAGCCTGATCGGGCAGCACCACGTGGACACTGAGGAGGAAGAGGACTTGGAATTAGAAGAGGTGAGAGCAGGCTCTGGCCCCACCCTCCCCCAGTCCTCCTAGATGACCTCTGACCTACCCTTTTGTCCTTCCAGGAGCACTGGACAGACTTGCTAGAGACCTGATACCACGTGTCCCCAACTTTCACCCCGGTCCTTTTCTGCCTCTCTCTTCAGTGTTTGTTAGCTTTTACTTGAGCGTAATAAAAAAAGCTGAGTTCAGTGCCACATCCACGGCTGTCTCGCCTGTGTGACAAAATGCCTCTCAGGTGGTGGCCGTCTCAAAATCAGGGGCTCATGCTTCCTGGAGCTCCCCCCCCCTCCCCGCGCGGTTCCCTGGCAGTCTGCTTAGGTGCCTGATGAGCCTCAATGACCTCGTTCACTTTGTTCCTGGCGATGGTTTCTTGCATTGACTCTGCTATCCTTTCTTCTGTTCTATTTTTCTCTTGACAAAAACTTAATCTGTTCAAGGAACCAGAAAACATTTCCAACGGCTCCTTGAATACGGAGGAACTGATGCGGCAGTTCCTTCCCTTGATTCAGGCCATTAATGTTATGATTAAGACTCTAGCTCGCTCTCTGGGGGAATTTACAGATACCCTAGAACAGAAAGAGCTCATGATAGGAGATTTGGTAGAAGATGGGCAAATTATGAAGGAAAATGTATGGAATGGTATGAGTTACCATTTATGGAGAGGCTAGCCAGAATGAGAAACCCCTGGTACATTTTATTTTATTTTATTTTTTTTAAATATTTATTTATTATGTATACAGTATTCTGTCTGTATGCCTGAAGGCCAGATGAGGGCGCCAGACGTCCTTACAGATGGTTGTGAGCCACCATGTGGTTGCTGGGAATTGAACTCAGGACCTTTGGAAGAGCAGGCAATGCTCTTAACCACTGAGCCATCTCTCCAGCCCCCCCTGGTACATTTTAGATAGGAAAAAAAGGCAAGCTATTCTTGATAACATGAAGCCAGCCATTCAATATTGGAACAAACCCTGGGGGTGGAATCCTGAAGAATGGTGTTTGGGTTACCTTGGTTACCTTGAGGGCAGATTTGATTTAGGGCCATGAGAAAGCACAGTTAGTTAGTGGTGTGAGACAAATTTCAAAGAACAGCTCTGCCCACCTGGCCCTGACCACAAGACTTGCTGAGAATAATGAATTGTCTGTAATCATTTTTCTATGGAAACTTTTATGTCTGCCAACTTCCTTCTGTAATCTCTTAAAAGTGATGCTTGAATTTTAGTAAAGTTGCAGCAGATTCAAATCTCATTAGAGTTGTGTCTGTCTGTCATTCGCCGAATCCTGGGTTCTCCTAAGCCTTCACCCCTGTTCTCCCTCGGTCTTCGATCTCCAAGAGAGTCAGTCCACGGCAGTTCAGGGTACCTTCTGGTGTTTTCTCGGAGAAGGGCAGGAAGGGATGAAGTGAAGCCGAGGCTCTGGACCTGACCATGTGGCCTTGCTACTCCCTTGCTTTTCTCAGAGGTAACAGTTACTGTGTTCATTCGCTTTCCCGTGACTGTGATAAACCCTGGGACTTGGGGAGAAAGGAGCTTGTTTCCTCTTATGCTTCCAGGTAACGGCCCATCGGTGAGGCACCTGGAGCAGACCCTGGGAGAAGGCTGCTTACCGGCTCAGTCTTTCTGGTGGTGCTTTCGGGACTCTTACACAACCCAGGACCACCTGCCTAGGGGTGGCACTGTTCACAGTGAGCTGGACCCTCTCAGCTCAATCAACAATCAAGAAAACACCCTCACAGACATGCCCCTAGGTCCATCTGGCTGAGGCAGTCCCCCATCGAGAATCCCTCAGGTAAGGCTGGGCTATGCAAAGCTGACAGCCAAAGCCCAGGAGACCAGCGCCTGTGGCTTGGAGCGTGCGCACCTCTGTTGAGAGCACACAGGTCCTGTGCTCACAGAGAAGCACCAGGGGAGCCAGGTTATGCACGCATGGTTGCCTTTGCAATGGAAGATATGTATGTTTTCTGCCCAGAAGCCTGGGAATGGAGGTGGCTAACAGGCTGGGTAGCCACTGTCCTATCTGTAGGGTCACTCCGTCCCTGGCTCCCCCAAAACTCCCACAACCAGTACCAGAGGTGGCTACTAGCCCAGATGACCTCTATGCTATCTGTATGACCGAGACCACGACAGATCCTCCCCTCGGCTGAAGATACTGCA